CTATGTGTAGTTGTGTGTTCAAGTATGCAACCTTATTTTGTGTGTATCTCTCTATCATGATAACGAACAATATTGTATTACGTTGAGGCAAACGGCGATGGCATTGGCGCTGGCACAAAGTATTATGCGATTGAAAATAAAAGATAGAAAAAGATGAACTTTTCGTACCGTCATCTAATATTCATATAAATATTTCTTCTTCTTGTTTTTTTTGGCTTGACACAAAACCGATTCCATTTGTTTTCGTCGCGTTTGGTGCTCGGTGCTGCTGGTTCTTTTTCTTCACCTTTTTAATGGAAAATGTTTTCCTGTCGCTGGCGACGGTCCTGCATAAAAAATTGAATGCATTTACTGCTGTTTGTATGCGATTTATTTTCACAGTTGAGCGTCAAAGTCGGTGCTTCGTTCGAGCTGCTTGCAATGCAATATTTTGGCCAGGTATTTTTTTCCTCTCCACTCGCTGGCTTTCCTTTCAATTGCATGAATTTGTTAAAGTTCTGCTTTTGCAGGCAAGGTGTTGTTTCGCTTTTATTCTTATTCTTCTTCAGCAATAGGGTTTATTCAAGTGTCTGTGTGCGTGTTTTTTCGTTGTCGAGTTTTGGTTTTGCAGCACATTTTATTTTAATGTGCATCCGCATCGAGAGAGTCCAAACAATAGAGCTGTAACCGAATCAAAAGCAATCAAGAAGCAAATACACCAAGAGAGTGAAATAGAGAAGAAAAGTTTCTTTTCAGAAGGAAGAAAGAGGAGATTGTGCGGCAACTGATGATCTACACCAACAGTCGCAGTTAAAAATAACAACTGCACAAAACTTATGCAATTTGGAATAGAAAAAAATAGAAATAATACGAAAACACACACACATATACCGGATGACATACTCACATAAAAGCGCATCCGGAGAAAATGTACCCAAAACAAGATATGTGTATATTAAATTCATTCGATTCTCATTCCCGTGGTGAATCTTTCCAATCTGAATTGACGAAACAAAGAAGAAGAAGAAGAAGAAGAGGAGGAAGAGGACAATTGCAGCGAGACTTTATTTTCTAATATCATCAATCTTCATAGTCACGATTCGCTTTTCCATATAATAAATGCATCGCGTCGAGTAAACTTACAAGCGCACAAATTTAATACGGATCCATTTGTTTAATATACACTAAGAATGTGCGCGCCGAATGAATGGTGAGAGGTCCACAGACACCCCAAGTCGAAAATGAATGGATTTCGAATGCACCAAATGTTATTGTCTTTTTCTCAACCCTCTCTATCTCTATCTCGCCTTTAATACTTGTGTCTATGTGTTTCATCGTTGCGCCTTAGCAGTTTTGTTTTTTTTCTTTTTGGTGCCCACCAATATCATTGTCGTCATCGTCACCATTTGTTTTTCTTGTAAGACCTTTTCACAGTGAAATATTTTACCATTCAAACAACTTGCTGCGCTCAACTCAGAACTTCACGACTCTCACTAAATAAGGCGAGCAGACAGGCATACACCAAAAACCATTGACTCTCTAAATGGTGTTATCGTTGTTTGGCTTTTTTGCGCGTGGCGTCGTGCACTGCTCTGATTCTCTCACTCACTTACACTTGCTCATTGCGATCGACTCGATTTAATGCCAAAAACTCAATATATATT